CTACAGACCATTGACCCAATCTGCAGCGTCAGCCCCTGCCTTGATGACACCCATACCAAAATGGCTGCAGTCTTTGAGGCCAAGATTGTTTGAAAAGGCACTGTGACTAAAACGAACCCTGCCATGATCAACCATCCCACGCTGTTTCCATTGCATGTATTCTAACATGATATCGTCTGCCATGTTCGTCTCATACTGCATTCCTTGGCTCCAAGAGCACAAGAACCCATTCCCGATCGTGATACGTCCGGCAGTGGTGGCGGCCCTTCAACAGCCACGACTGCTTGAAAAGGCACTCTGTCTACCGAATACAGAACCTTAACCCGATCTGCAGCATCATCCCCTGCCCTGATGAGACCCATTCCAACATGGCTGCAGTCTTTGAGCACAAGATTGCTTGAAGAAGCACTGTGACTAAAACGAACTCTACAACCTACACCTATTTCGTATCCAGCTTCTACCGAGATCAACCTTACACTATCCAACGCTGTTTCCATTGCATGTGTCCGAACATCTTATAATCTACTGACTCCCTTGGCTCCAAGAGCACAAGTGGACGTTCCAGATCGTGTCACTTCCGGAAGCTCTCTAACCACTTACCCGACCCGCAAAATGGCTGCAGTCTTTAACCCGACAACCACGATTACTTGAAAAAGCACTCTGACTCCAACGAACTCTACCAACGGCACCTGTTCTGGGGCTATGTTAGGCAATCTGGAATTTATTCCAGTCCATTTTGAGCCCTCGTTCAAGTCCCTATCTCGAGGAAGATGCTTGAGATAGTGACTCCTGGGGCTATGTTCGACCATATGCAAGCTATGCTCGTGAGAAAATCTTACAGTTCCTGGAAAAAGCTATGTTTGGTCACGTTAGGGGGGGCTTTGTTCCGGTCCCTTTTGAGCCCTCGTTGGGCTATGTTTACGACGTTCACGTCCCTATCTCGCAGACATGTCCTTTAGATAGTGACTTTTAGAGCTATGTTAGGCAATATCTTTACTTTATCCCAGTCCCTTTTGAGCCCTCGTTAGAAAATGTTACCGTTCCTTATCTCTGCTCCTGTTGAGCCAAATATCCGGTGAACGTCTTGAGCTACCTGCGGAAAAGATACACCAATTTGCGACGTTCCCACATTCTAGCGCTATGTTAGGCAATATGGAAGCTATGTTCAGCCACGTTGGGGGGGGGTGACTTCTGGGGCTATGTTCAATGGAAGTACCTACCTTGACCCGTTCCTGGAGCATGACTGCAGTCTTTGAGCCCTCCCATGCGGTGCGGGCGGTTACCGTCGAGAAGCGACGTGAATAGATCCTTCTTTTAAGCCCAGGGGGTAGGCAGCTAGTAGCTGGATAGCTAGTAGCTAACAAGTAGCTACTACTGACAGGACGCAGGATAGCGCGCGCTTCTTCAAGGAAACTCCCACAGGGGGGCAGGGGAAGCTTCCTTGAAGAAGCGCTCGCACTAATGATTTGGTTCCTAGATCTTTAGGGAAACTTAACTAATAGGAGAATAGCTCAAAGGAAACTCTTCATCACGCTGAGCATGTTCCTAAACATCACCGCTTCAATCCGACCCTGATTAAACATCAAAAACATATTCCATGGTCCAGTCCAGTTATCAACAATAGAAGTAACACACCTGTGTGTTTCAACATCACAGAGTATGTTGTGCAAGTTCCCTGTGTCAAATGGCCCCGCTAATATAATCTATCGGAATCTGTCCAAATCTAGCCATCCAATGTCTGGTCTGGACATGCGAAAGGTGACTTACGGAAACGGCGCAGGCCATGCTATGAGCATCTCAGGAATGTATATATGTAATATGTAATTACATAGTTATATATATATATATGTATATCCATCTGATGTGCATCCTCACCAGAAACACTGTCGCAAGAATCTATTCTCCCGTAAGGACGGGTGTTTTGGTGGGTCACGAGGGGTATATGCGGCACCCTTTTTTAGGTCTCCACGTTGAAACCTAATCTCCTGAGTTGCTGGCGCGGCTACTGTAAGACTGCCACAGCCACAGCAATCATCTCGGCAAAAAAGGCGTCGTATGACAACTCACGGTTTAAGGCAGTTCACTCATCAAATCCAAGGGCGGGTTCTTGTGGAGGCCTGTGGGATCAGAAGTTCCAATTGTTTACAGGTTCGGCTTATTTTGGTTGCATCATGCATCCATTCTAGGGTCCTGGCTACCCCCACAGACAGGTCTCCAGATGGAATACCTGCATGGGTTGATCTCAGGATCTTCCTTGCTTGCATCCCTTCCATTCTGTCAAACAGAAAAACAAGTTTGGAGTTGCCGCCTCCAGACGAGTTGCCCCCCTTAAGGAGGGAATTCATAAGAGTTCAATGAGCTCTGCTCTCCATTCAAGATTCATATAACAAGAATCTCCTAAGAACAAAGTGCATTGCTACTAGGAGCAAGTGCGTCGCTATTCGTATCTAATGTGCTACTAGTAACAAGAAGCCACTAGTTCATACTAGTTCTGCTTTTTGCTCCGGTTCTGCCGATCTAAACTATATACCAAGTTCTCGACAAGGTCGCCGTTGGAAGCATCCTGGCAAAATGCTCATCTGACCACGCTAGGATCTGAAGAAAGGGAATGCACTATAATGCACTGAGTGAGTTGGATTGTTCTGACACACGCATGCGAGGACAGTGACAGTGCCTCATATGGGTCGGCGGAGTTGTCCACATTATCTGTGGTGGATGTAACACCTCAGCCAGGCTGGGATTGCCAAGTCGACAATGATAATCCCCAGGGCATGTCAACCAATCCCCATCTTCTCAAAATGTTCCAACCAAAGTGTTATCCTCGGCGCTCAATTTGTTCCACTTTCCTGAACTCAAAAACTAGGAGTACATGCATAGCAGTTCAACAGGAGACACGCATCCACACTTGTCAAACGTTTGTCTGTTGGATGCAAATCCCTGATGTGCACAAAAGGACATTACATCGCTATGCTAAAAAGCACTCATGTTCGTTCGTTAGGAAAGACACCAAATGGTCGGAGCTGTTGTTGCAAAGTTGGGAAGCAAGGGAAACACCCAATAACATTTGCAAAAACGCGTCTAGGGAAGCAAGGAAAACACGGAAAATTTCCAGACTGACCAGCTCGCGTGAGATTCAGGCAAACAAACATCTACTCATGTTACTCCTGCACACCTCTTATTATTTGGCTCTTAGTCGTCGTAGTAGTAGTAGTAGTCGTCGTCGTCGTCGTCCGTACTAGCACTAGTACAACCACTACTCATTGTGGTAAAAGTACTTCTTGGCTGGTTGTTTTCAGGGGGTGGGTCCAAAAAAAAGCAGCGACGGGGCGCCAGTTTTTGTTTCCACCCTCTTGTAGAAAAAAACAAAGGCAGAAAATATGTTGTAACGGGGTTGCAGTTTTTGTTTGTACCTTGTTGTTGTTGTTGTTGTTGTCGTCGTCGCTAGGTCTTGTAAAGGTCACTTATCCACCTGGGAAATTAGGACCACATAAAGCTTTGTCTTGGGGTAGCTGTGCAGTCTTCCAACCACCTCCAGCTTTTACCAAAACCCAAATAAAGCTGAAACCCAGCCAAAAGCGTCAGAGCCAACTTCGAGCCCAAGCAATAGTATTCAATAGTGACAACATTGAAATTTATGTATGAAATACTATTGCGCCTCCAAAATGGAGACAATTCTACAGCCACAGGACTGGGGTGCGACGCTCCACACATGAAGGCGTGCATCTCTAGTGTGACATGGTGTGCATCTCATGCTACTAGGACCAAAGGGCATCGCTACTAGGAGCAAGAAGCTACTAGTAGCTCCTGGCCTTACTACTAGGAACAAGAAGCTACTAGGAACCAAATCATTAAGGCTCAGGCTTTCACCTGCATCCTGGCACCCAAGAATCTACTTAAGCATCTTAAGCTTAATACCCTGTACTACTAGCCTCTCAAGATCACTTGAGCTTACTAGCGGCCTACTTTCTGAATCTGCCCACTTTGGGGGGCAGCGTCGTTTGGGCAAAAGTGCCTCAATGCAGTTTTCTTGCGTTCAAGTCTTACCACCTCATGTTTAAATACAAGTATCCAAGCCATCCCAATCTGTGTTGTTGACGAGTTCGTCTATGAACGGTGAGGACGTAGTCGGCGTAGTCGTTCTGCACCAGCGTGGGTCCATCACAGTGTGGCAAACCAAGCAAAAGGCAAACGTAAAGATAGAAAAGCAATGAAAAACATGTGATACCAAAGAGCCAAGCTATGCTGCTAACTTGTCTGCTTTGCACCCTCCTCCAAGTTAGGACACCAATAATGTCTCGGTCACCTCAGGCAATCAACAAGAGCTTGTTATGCTTGTTTGCAAAAAAAAGGCACACATTTGGCAATTCGATCGAACATCTCTGGACTGTAGAGTCGAACACAGTTGAAGCTGAAGCCATTCATAATCTATTGGCTTCCATCTTGTTGAGCTCCACGCTCACACTGCGGAGTGGTCCTCCAGTCTTCTCTGCATATGTGAAATTCTTGTAGTCCAGGATCTGCAGATGAGAACCTGCCTCAATACTCCGAAAGCGGGGTTGAGCTCATGTCTCGCCAAGTGCGTAGTAAAACCGATATCAAATGCAGTGAGTTGACTTTCTTGGCACCATTACACACGTGTTCACTCCCTCCTCTCCCACCTCTCCAGCGACGAGTTCGGGGCCGTCCACTATGAAGACAATGGCATCTTGTATGGTATGCGCGAAGGTGTCCTTGGTCGGTCTCACTGTATCCGTCCTGTAAAGACAAAGACTGGTTCTTCAGTATGGGGGTCACCCCTGAGGCTGCATCATTGCTGCAAAGTCGGAGGTGCACGTGTGGCACCGAAATCCAGCTTGTCACATAGTACGTCGCTGGCGCTTGAAAGCGTATAGTGATCTGACCATTGCTGTCCACCTCACAAGGGGGGTTCATAACTTGCAACAGAGCTTGTGTAGCGTTTGTATGTTGGACAATACTGCTTTCATGTTCAATATGCTAACAAGCTGTAACAAGCTGATGAGTTTGCGGTGGTTCACAGCCCACACAACTTAAGAAATGCGGATGCAGAAGTCAAACACCTGAGCTCAATTGAGAACAACGCAGCCAGGGACAAGAGATGTTGGTGGGCATTCAGTAATTTTAGTCATGCGTGGTGTGTACTTTCCTGCATGCAAATGACTAGAGTCTAGAGGCCGTTTAGCAAAGTACAAGCGACCACTCTGAGGCCTGGAGGTTGCCTCCATTGAAGTCAACATCACTGTACTTGGGATAGGCAGAATTCATGTGCCTGTAGACCGCACAGCCTGCAAGGATGGAAATGAAGCGCACGCGCAATCAGCTGTTTCTATCTCAGAGTATAACAGATTCGATTGATTCGATTGATTTCTATCCGTTTGAAGGCCCTGCAATGCGTTCAGTCCTTCAAGGTTCAGGTGGGGATTCCAGGCCGTCTGCGACTTTCTGGGTGCCCACCATGCTAAGTGAACTGGGTTCTCAGGTGTTGATGGCGTCAGATTGCCCAAGGTGATCTCCATGTCATACCTGCGGAGTCACAGGAGAAGCTACCAAAAGCTGGGAATCCACGAAAAGAAAAACTTCTCCAGCCGCCAACAACAACAACAGCAAGAACAACGACAACAACATGATGTCTAACATGTCAACAGTAAAGGGGGCACACAAACACTCTAAAACACTATTGAAGTCACGACATGTGCAGGGACAATTCAAACCATTCTCGCCGGAACAACATGAAAATGGCTGGCTTCTGCAAGCTGGATAGTGGACCAAGCCGGTATGGGCAGTAGGAATAGGCAGACTTCCTGGTTGCTTGTTGACAAGCCAGGCTGCGTATCAGGACCTGGAGAATTGTAGGTTGCACTTGTATGAGAATAGTTCGCAGCCAGTTACGTTCGAGTCCCACTCCTCACAGACCCCCCCAGATGTGACTCTCCTGCGCACAGAACAGACTTTGGGAAGAATGTTCAGAGCTGGATACATTGTACTTGCTCGAAAGAGGAAAAGCCTCTCAAGTCCTTAGCTTGCTCATTCCAGAGTCTGCGGCCGTCGCCATGAAATCTCTCGCCGTTCATGCCAATTGGGGCATGCCCCAAAGCTAAAGCAGGAAGCGCCTTGCATTTGGATCAGCCAAATCAGGCTGCTCCGGGGATGGACTATATCATATTATAAAGGACTGGAGCTCCTCACTGACACAACAAATTCAAGTAGTTCGCTGGCGCTCCATCTTAGGCAAGAGCTCTCAGCCAAGGGTTTCAACAACTAAGGCTGCTGCCAGAAGCACCACAGCCATTGCATCAGTCAAAGAAAAAGAGAAGCCTAGCACCTAAATCCAAAGTAAATCTGAAGCAATAGTTGCAATTTGAAGCTAGAATTGTGAACCAACCACCTAGCTGCATACCTGTAAATGAGATGATCGTGTTGCTCTGTTTGAGGCCAAGATTGGCAAACGGCTTGTGATTTGAAGGCTGTCTGACAATTGTAGAGTAGCTCAGAGCCCCCTGTCTTTGCAAAGAGAATGGACCTATAACCTGGAGACTATTGAGTTGCTGGCCATCCACCCTTGGCGGCGGCCTCCCGGTTTCTCCTCTCTGCTCGTGCTCACGTTTTGTGAGTGAGGTAATGTCTTAAAAGTTGATGCCAAGAATCGCAGAAATTGCAGGCCTCAACCTGCAAAGACTACAGATAACCAGCCTTTCTGTCACCCACTGGTGTGCTTTGAAACCTCTGTGTTTTGGGCAGGCTGGCACGTGGCAAAATAGGCTAACCTTGTTCAGCGCGTCTACCATGCATGAGCATGTAGTAAAAAAGTCCATCTCTGTAACACACTGAGAAGTTTCAAAATGGGCTGTTCAGTGAACTGTTATTTCTGGGGCCGGAAAAAAAGGAATGTGCATAGATTTAAAAGGCTTATAAGGCACAAGGCGCCTTGTGCAGGTTTGTTCTTTGACAAGGAGGAACAGCAAGACGTGACCCCTTTAAGCTCTAGTAAAAGGACCAAAAGAAACTTAAGATGCTCTTTGGTGTTCCCGGAGCTCAGTACCTTTGAAGCTGGACAATATATAAGCTGTAGATTTTGGTGAACTCCTAGTGTGTCCTTTACTTGGTTGGCTTGTTTAATCTGAATCAAGTCGTAACTTGCAATGTGTGACAGCCCAAAATGGGTGCTACTTGGGTGCGCTCCGGTTGTGCATGATCTGGTCTTTCAGTCAAAACATATCTTTCCCTTCAGACTGACGGCACTGTAGGCACAGCCAGGTTGCCATCACAAAGATGGCGAATGGTGAGCAAATTGTTTGGCAAACCAGAGGTATAAGTAGAGAAACCAAATGCACGTCATGCCCAACCGCCAGCACGGACTCTTAAGAGCAGAGGCCTCGAGGAGGCGGTCACCGGAGTCATTTTCCCTCTCTCGGAGACCGCAAGTGAACCTGTGGCAAACCTGCATTTCGGTGGTCGCAAAGGCTCACAAGCGGCTCTACTCTGCAAAGAGTCGCTTTAACAAAATGGTATGAATCTTGTCGGTTTGAAATCCGGCTTCTCCAGCGAATACCAGAGAAGCTATGCGGATGCAGCAAGTTGCTCACATGAGACCCAGTGAGGCAAATTGCCAATCCTGGCGAGACCTGTTGCTCCAAACAAGTCGTAACACTGGCCTTTGTAGTAAACAGGGTCTCGCCATTTGCCAAGGAATCTGTCTCTTCGAGCTTAGCATGCCTTGACATCAAAATTGCCACTTGCAGCGCTCTGAAGACTACAAGCCAAGCCATCCTCAAAGCCAAAGAAATGGTAAAGGAGACGAACAGAGTTGAGTCTACACTGACTTTGCACAAGGTGTTTTTCGAGAAACACCACTTCCAAAACATGTTGAGAATCAAAACCTCGGCCCGCGTCTGTAGGAGCACAGGAGAAGCTTGCCACACTCTGCGAGAAAGGGGAAACCGAATGGCAAAGATATGTTTCATATATGAAACTACTAAAAACAAGTGCATCGCTACTAGTAACAAGTGCCTTACTAGTAGTAACAACAAGCTAGTAGAAACAATAATTAATTGGACTATTATATGTGTGGACAACCTCCAGGTCTCGGGTTCCCTTCCCCAGTGGACACAGAATTGGCCTTGCCTTCGCAAGGAAATGCTCCAGGCATTTCCGAGACCCACCGAGACATGACTTTCCAGAAGGCGAATGCTCAGAGCGTCCGAGGCAAAAGCCTCTCGGACAGGCACCCTCGGAGTCTCATTTGCCCAAAAGCATGAATGCATGGAATGGGAAGACTTCGGAGCCATGCGAGACGGAGCAATCATTCCTGCGAGGAACAAAACCGTTCCATGAATCCATCACCGGTCACACTGTTCATTCATTTCTGAGACACTGGAAAATAGTGGAAACATCTCTAGACGCTCACACGATTGCATCCGCGCTCTTCCATCGAAAGATCGAGAGAGAGTAGCTCGGCCAGCCCCGCCATACAGTGGCTGCAAAAGGGACACAAACATGCAATGACTTGCATTCCATGTTGAAAGGAGAATCCATGTCTGGTCAACCCAATCTAAACAGCTGACAAGTATGTACAAAGCAGGAAAACAAGAAAGGGCCATTGTTTAGCTTAGTGATGTTGTTGCAGCTGGGCTCAATAATGAAAACAAATGGGTGTGAGTCCGGGAATACTGCAAACAAACAAGCTTGTGATGTCTATGTCCATACAAAGTAGAACCTCCTAGCATGATGCCCTTACCAGTTCTAAAAGATCATGTGTTGCAGAAACCCTTGCGCTTGTAGGATCTTGTAGGTGCCATGCTGGCGCATAGTCTGGCTACGAGAATCGCCCAGAAGGAAAAAATGACGGATCAGCTGTCGAGCTGTACCTGCCAATGCACTGAAGTGTAGCGATTGAATCTGTCAGCCCAACAGGCCTAAAATGCAGAAACATACAGGAGGCTACAAGTGAGGCTTCTGAGTCGCAAGGGTGAGAAAAATAAGATCATGTAGATCACAGAAATGATAACGAGCCTTTACAGCAAAACGAATTCACCAACATGTCTATACTTCATTATTCAGGCACCGTTTTGGCTTTTGGCATCTAAAAATTGTCGCACATCTAGGTCAGTTGCAGAATGGGCCAACAAACAACATAATTAAGTAGTTGTTTCAAGTAGGTAAATCTGAGCATGTATTCTTCCTGTACCCTTCCCCTTGTCCCCGTCTCGGCTCTTTGCTCTTCTCTCTTATCTCTGCTTGCCTCTCTCTTGTCTACAGTACTATACCCGCTCCCAGGGAAAGCATCTAAAAAGGCTACAGCAGAACAACCGACAAAACCCAAAACGGTCTTCGAAAAGCAAAGCATGTCACAGCTCAGCAATGCTTCCCCAACGTGATGCTGTAAAGCCACTAGGTTAGAGAGGTGGCTGAGGAGCAAAGAGCTGCTTATCTGTGACTTATTGAGTGCACAGGTGCCAAAGATTGTGTTTTTAATGGAGAGCCTTACAGGGTTTCAGTCAAAGATGTGAGCGTGAAACACAAAGACTCAGACTTTCTCACGGAACCCAACGTAGGTCTTTCGCAGAGGGTTTGAATTTCACTGCAGAGGCTATAATGCACAAAAGACCAATGGATTACCTTAGATCAACTACCATATGATGCAATAGAATACAACACGTAGCATAGCACGACACAACACAATATTGTACTAGATCGTAATATAAATACTGTGTATATATATATGATTAATTACTGTGTATATATATATATGATTATATGATTATATATGTGAGAGTGATGTGTGATCGTGTGTGATCGTGTGTGTGTGTGTGTGTGTGTGTGTGTGCGTGCGCGCGTGTACATCTGTCTGTGGATGGGCCCTGTCTCGGCTTGTGCTGCATTTTGAAAACTGACACCAGCAGTCACCAAGGTAAGGTCTTGCCCGTCCTTTTTGTCTCGACAAGCTCTGGGGGTATGGCAAAGCAAGTCTTTCAAAGCAGAGGCTGGAAGCCTGTCTACGCCTGCAAACCACCTGTTCGTCCCTATAGGAGTTCAATCCGTTTGGACGCAGGGGTCCACAGGTCTGCCACTTGTGTGGCTTTGCCTCGGCCTCCCCTTGAAGTCTCGTCCCATTCGGGACACGAGATGGTCAAGTGCCAAGCTTTGTGTAGCTGGGCACAGGTGTTGAGCTTGCTTGACAAAAGCGCACAGGAGAACGTGATCTTGAGACTTGAAACCTAGCTGAAAGATGTCGATTCAACCAGAAGCACGACCACGATGAATCAAAGTCAATCAAACAGGCGTTCCTTTCAGAATCCAGCAAGTGCCATCACCCAATCGAGAGGTTTAGGCATTGCCGCTGACGACAGCAGCAATAAACGAAAAGTAGAAGGCCACAGACTTTTCACATCAGCCTTCTGAAAAGAGAAAACAGCGACCTCTCCGACAGACATGACTGCTTTCAGCAGTTACTTGCCACAAGCAGAAACTTGCAATGGACGTCGTGAATTCTCTGATAATCTATCTGGCTCAGCGCTCT